AGTAGAGTGCCTAGTCTTCCTTCCATAGAGTGGCTGGTAGGTTTGAAACTGCCAACCTTCTGGCTAGCAGTCAAATGCCTTAGGCACTACACCACAAGAGCTCCTTACAAGAAAGCTACTAGAGCATTAAATGAATTCAGCAAAGTGGCAGAATACAAGGTCAGCACACAAAAATCAGTTGGGCTTCTATACATCAGCAATGAGCATTCTAATAAAGAAATTAAGGAAACAATTCCATTTAAAATAGCATCTAAAAGAATAAAATACCTAGGAATACATTTAATTGAGGAAATACAAGACTTATACACTAGAAACTATGAAATATTACTGAAAGAAATTAAACAAGTCTTAAATAAATGAAAGGATATTCCATGTTCATGGATTGGAAGACTTAATGTTGTTAAGATGTCAATAACTACCCAAAGCAAATTATAGATTTAGTGCATTTCTCATCAGAATTCCAGTATCCTTCTTTGCAGAAATGGAAAAACCAATTCCTAAAATTGATATGAAACTGCAGAGAACCCTGAATAGCCAAAGGAATCTTGTAAAAGAATGATAAAGCAGAAATCACATGTCCCAATCTCAAAACATAAAGCTACAGTAGTCAAAGTAGTCTGGTACTAGTATAGTGATAGGCATATAGACCAATGGAATAGAATTGAGAATGCAGAAATAAATCTGTACTGCTGTGGTCAATTGATTTTTAACAAGGGTACTAAGTCCTTTTAATGGAGAAAAAATAGTCTCTTTAATGAATGGGGCTAGAATAACTGGATTTCCACATGTAAAAGAATGAAGCTAGACCCATCCTTCCCACCATATAAAAATTGACTTATAATGAATCAAGAACCTAAATGTGAGAACTAAAATCATAAAACTCTTAGAAAAAAATAGAGGTAATGTTTCAGGACCTAGTTTTTAACAGTAAATTCTTAGGTATGACACCCAAAGCACTAGCAACAAGACAAAATAGATAAATTGGACTTCATTAAAATTAATAACTTCTGTTCATCAAAAGACTTTATCAACAAAACAAAGCAACAACCTACAAGATTGGGAGAACCATATATCTGGTAGGGGTTAACATTTAGAGTATATAAAGAAGTACATCTTAACAAAAAGACAAATATAAAGTATTTTCAGGGTCTATCAGGATTCAGGAGGAGTCATGAGAGTCAAGATCAACATAAAGCTGGTTCCTATGAGGTGGAAGTCAGACATATCTCCACTCTCCAACATTTTCACCATTTCTGACACCAGCCATCCCCACCATGGCACTTTCTACTTCTCTGCTGGTTTTGATATTTTATCGCAACGGCCACACATAACTCACAGACCATACTCATGGTTACTTGGTTTACTGGGAAAGTAACAGGCTACGATTCAGGATCAGGATCAACTTGGAAGTAACAGGATCCAACTCAGGAGACAGGATACAGTTCTTTGATCAGAATAGCTTCCAACCAAGACAGCACTCAGCTTCTTGGCCATACTACAGGCAGGCCCTTCTCTCAGCTATGCCCACTGGCAGGTGGCTCTTCTCTTAGCCATGCCCTCATGCAAGTGGCTCTTCTCTGCCCTCTGCCCTGCTTCAGCAAAGGCTATAGCTCTTTAGCTTCACCCACAAGTGCCCAGAGGTACGCGGCCTGCCAGCAAGCCTCCTTCCTGAAGGCACCTAGCTCTTGCTCATTTTCTGGGCTAGCAAGCCCAACTCATAGTGATCCCATGTGTGCAGAATAGAACTTCTCCATAGGGTTTTCAAGGCTGTGACTTTTTTGAAGCAGATCACCAGGCCTGTCTTCTGAGATGCCTCTGGGTGAGTTTGAACCACCAACTTTTTGGCTTATAGTCAAGTGCTTAACAATTTGCATCACCTAGGAACTCCCATTAGTTATTAGGGAAATGAGAATAAAACCACAATATCACTTCACTCCCACTACAGTGACTAAGATCAAAAACATGGAAAACAACTGATGTTAGAAAGGATGTGGAGGAATTGGAACCGTTATCCTGTTGATGGATTTGTACAGCCACTATGGGAAACAGTTTGGTGGTCTCAGAAAGTTAAACATAGAGTTACCATATAATCCAGTGATTCCATTACTCCTATGTATAAGCACAAAGGACTTGAAAGCAGGAATGCAAACAGATACTTGAATACCATGTTCCTCACAACACTATTCTCAGTAGCTGAAAGGTGAAAACAGCCTACATGTCCACCATCAGATGACTGAATAAACATATGGTACATATATACAATGGAATATTACTCAGCTATGGTGGTACAGTGGTTAAAGTGCTCAGTGAAATTGGAAGGACAGTGATCCAAATCCACCAGCTGCTCCATGGGACAAAGATGTGGTAGTCTACGTCTGTAAAGATTTATAACCTTGGAAACCCTGTGGGGCAGTTCTACTCTATCCTATTGGGTCACTGAGTCAAAATTGACTTGATGGCAGTGGGTTTGTTTTCTGGCTTTTTTATAAAGAGAAATGAAGTCTTGATACATATTACAACATGGATGAACCTTCAAAACATTATGATAAATGAAATAATAAATCACAAAGAGATAAATATGATCCTAGTTCATGAAATATTTAAAATAGGAAAATGTGCAGAGACCGCAGTTTATTAGTGATTACCCAGAGGCAAGGAATTCTTGACAACTGCAATCTTTTCCCCATTGTTTTTCAACCTTGTTCCTTGAAGTTGTCGAGGATTTCATTTTACTTGAATCCACAATCAGCACCCATGGTTGCAGCAGTCAAAGCAAATAATGTATTGCCTTGGGCAAATCTGCTCCACAAGACCTCTTTAAAGTGTTAAAGAGCAAAGCTGTCACTTTGAAGACTAAGGTGTGTTTGACCCAAGCCATGGTATTTTCAGTAGCCTCATGTGCATGTGAAAGCTGGAATAATAAATACTGCAGAAGAATTGATGCATTTGAATTGTGGTATTGGCGAAGAATATTGAAAATACCATGGACTGTCAAAAAAATTAACAAATTTATCTTGGAAGGAGTGCAGCCAGAATGTTCTTGGAAACAAGAATGGCCAGACTTCATCTCACCTGCTTTGATCATGTTGTCAGAAAGGACCAGTCCCTAGAAAAGGATATGCTTGCTAAAGTAGAGAGTCATTGAAAAAGGAGAAGACCCTCAATGAGATGGATTGACATAGTGGCTTGACATAGTGACTGCAATGATGGTCTCAAGCATAGCAAGGTTTGTGAGGCTACTTCAGTATCGGGCAGTGTTTCGTTCTTTTGTACATAGGGTTGCTATGAGTTGGAACCAACTCAATGGCAGCTAACAGCAACAGGGCAAGAGGGAAGGGGAAAAGAGGGAGTTGTTGCTTAGAGGGCACTGAGCTCCTGTAAAAGGTGATGGAAAATTTTTGCAATACATAGTAGTGATGGATATAGAACGAAATTGTGACATTCAACATGCTGAAATGGTAACTATTTGTATATAAGTTTTAAAAATCAGAAATCAAAGAAATACCATTTGACCCAGCCATTCCATTACTAGATATATACCCTAGAGAAGTGAGAGCCATGACAAGAACAGACATAGGCACACCCATGTTCATTGCAGCACTATTTACAATAGCCAAATGATGGAAACAACCTAGGTGTCCATCAACTGAGGAATGGTTAACCAAACTATGGTACATACATACTGGAATGGAATACTATGCAACGCTAAAGAATAATGTAGAATCTTCAAAATACCGCATAACGTGGATAAACTTGGAGGACATTATGCTGAGTGAAATAAGTCAATCACAAAGGACAAATACTGTATTAGTCCGTTATTGTAAAAGTTAAGGAAAGGTTTATCTATAGAAGGAAATTTTCTTTGTTGGTTACCAGGGGTGGGAGGGGAGGGGAGGGAGTGCTGTTAGATAGATAAAGTATTGATTTGGGTGAAGAGAAGGGCAATGTACCAAATGTGAGTGACCAATATGGCGGCATTGAGGATGAGAAAGACATAGAGAGGTACATGGGAAGTACAGAAAAAGATGAACCCTTTTGCACATACAGTACTGTGTTGTCAGTGAAGGCAAACATGGGTATATGGGTGGATAGATAGGTGGACAGGCTAAACGATTAGGTATGTCTATGAAATGGGGAGTGTATCCAAGAACATATATAGGGTTGGCTGGCAATGGTCCTATAAGTTTATGTGAATGATCAGAATTTCTAGGTGTATAGTAGAGTTGACAAGAGGAAGGTTGTGGTCACTGCTTGGTCACAGCCAGCTACCCAGAGGGACTGAGTAGTTGAACCTGTGGGCTTGGGACCGTAGTCGCAGGGGACATCAAGGTCAAATGGCATAACATACTATACAAAACATTGTTCCACCTCCTACTTTGATGAGTAGCGACTGGGATCTTAAAAGCTAGCAAGCTGCCATCTAGATGCAATGATGGGTCTCTCCTCGTCCAGAGTAAAGAAGACTGAAGAAAAACAAAGTTCATGGAAACAATTAGTCCTAGTGACTGGTACACCATCCAATCTGCAGCCTATACGACTGTGAGACCAGAAAAAGTAGATGGTGCCCGGCTACCACTGTCATCCACTTGGAAGGGGATCTACGTAGGAGATCCTTGACAAAGAGGGAGAACAATGTGGAACAAAACTCAAAATCATTTGGAGAAAAAGAAAAGGGGCGGGGGACCAGGTTTGCTGGTCCGATAGAGCCTGGTGGAACCACTGAGACTATGGCCCCATAGTAAGGATAGCAGCGAAGCCAAGTCACCACAGCAACCAGCTGAAGTGCCTCTTTTATATTTCTTAGGAATCAGGCAGGGCATGTAACAGATGCAACAGAGGAGCCACCCACTATCCTAGCCTATAGCTCAATGATAAAGGTCCTTCTCTTTCTCTTTCCATTTCAGGAAGTTGCTGACAGCATAAAGTATAAGCAGAATGGGGGTAATGATGTGACTGGGCCAGTTCAGTGCTTATGTTCTTCATGTTCTCTTCCCCTGCAGCTTTTCCTTCCCTCCATGAGAAAGAAGCCCACACTGGCTGATGGCAGCAATCCTGATGGTGATCTCCTACAAGAACACTGGCTGGTTGATGACATGTACATCTTTGAGAATGTGGGCTTCACCAAGGACGTGGGCAATATCAAGTTTCTGGTCTGCGCAGACTGTGAAATTGGACCAATTGGTTGGCATTGCCTAGATGACAAGAATAGTTTCTATGTGGCCTTGGAACGGGTTTCCCATGAGTGACTTAGGGGAGGGGACCTCAGCTCCACCCCCAGCTATAAAAACTACTCCCTAAACAAGAACTGGCATTTAACCTGGTATATTGTTCTGTGGCCTTCTCTGTACTAATACAAAGTTACGTGAGTACCAGGAGGTACACTAGAACATGCAAAGGATTAATCCTCAAGTGTATGCCGCTTGCTTAGTTTGTTTTGCATCACATTTCCTAATCTCCCTTTTCCCCAGTTTTGGGACACTACACAAAATCTCTCATCCTTACTGTTCTGCTTGGGCTCCATTTTATCCAGGGGCTCCCTTGTTACTTGCTCTAGAGGAGAAGCAGTATCACCCTTTTAGCCACGATGACACATGACAGGATTCTTATGTGCTGATATTTGAAGCACCTCCTTTCTCTCTCTCATTCAAGAAAGCATATGAGTGACTGAGAAAGACTTTGTTGTATGACTAGCCTTGTATCTATAGTATTTAAACCACTAATCAAAAAACAAATCACTTTGGACATACCTCTAGCATCCTGTTTGAGAGCTTCTCTAGGTTGACAGTGACATTTTATTGTTAAGATGAACTTGGCTTTTCTTCCCTTCAGGTCCTGATGAGATTTTTCTATACTAACTCCTCACTGCTATAGCCTGTAATTTTCAACTCTGTATGGCAGCCACTCCAAATTACACGTGAGTTTATAGGTCTGTTCCATATGAACAGGTAACTCTTCTTTTGTTCTTGGGAAAGCTTTATTGAACAGGTTAGGATCATCATTTACTGAACCTACTGGATATATTCCTCACAGAGTTTTGGTTCAGTCAGAGTCACACCAATCCAGAATACAGATTTCCCATTCAAATACCAATATTCCTGTCACTGTGGGGTTGCTCTGACAGTGTGATGTTTTCATGATCCTTCTGACACCTCTAAGATTCAAGAAGCCTAAAATTGAAATAGGTACTAAATAAAGACTACCATCGTCATTACATTCCTTTGCATCTGTTTTCTGGTTGCTTCCTCCTTTGTTCACTCTGAGACTTATTCTGAGGGCTCCCCCAGTAAAGTGAAGGCCTTGGGCAGAGTTCTGCAACTGACCCTATTATTGAGTTAGTTCCATCTCATGGCGCCCCCATGTGTACAGAGTAGATCTGCTCCATAGGGTTTTCAGGGCTTTGACCTTTTGGAAGCAGGTTACCAAGACTGTCTTCCAGGGCTTATTCCTGAGTAGTTTGAACTACCAACCTCTCAGCTAGTAGTGACTGCTTAGTGATTTGCACTGCTCCCCTAGAAAAGTGGCTTCCTTCCTTATCAATGAGCCTGACTGACCTCTAGTAGAAAATGAGAGAACTGTGCTTTCCTGACAAGTGGTCAAATGCCCATTATTATGGCATTTGCAGAAAATCAGCTGAAAATTATCCACTCAGGTCGAAGGAAGAAACCCAAGTAGATGCCTCTACGTGCATAAGGCCCCTCACGCCTCTCACATCACAAGCCAAACCCAGGTAAAGCATTTATTTTTTTAGTTAGTCTTTAACTTTTCTTTCTTCCTCTTTTTTTTTTTTTTTTTTTCTTTCTCTTTTTGGTGATTGTTCCTGTGTGTTTATGCAGTGTAAAATGGGTATAAAATTTTTTAAAATAGGAGATTGCTGTGGTAATGTGGTATGCACCCTCCGTGTTTTTCTATCTGTGTGTGTTTATACAGACACACACTCAATATATCAACAATTGTTAGGATGGTCCAGGACTGGGCAACATTTTGTTCTGTTTTATATAAGTTGTCAGGAGAAGGAGCTGACTTGATGGCAACTAACAGCAGCAAAACAGTTTTTGAAACAAGTATGAGATCGTACGGTACTCTTTTATAACTTGCTTTTTTCATTTAACAACATAAGGTGAACATCATCTCATGTCAGTAGCTATCCATCTGTGTACACCGTTGTTTTTAGTATTCTGTTGTACTGCTGTACTATAATTAACTTAACCAGTCCACTGTGAGGTTGTCTCCAGTTCCCTACTGTTACAAACATTGATAAAACTTGCCACCTGGTAGTTAAATCTGTATACACATTCTTAATTATTTTCTTGGCATTCATTATCAGAAATGGAATTACAGGGGCTGCATATTTTCAGAACTGTGCTCTATTTACACATACTAGCTGTGCTAATTTACCCTCTTCTGGAAGTGTACAAGAGCACTCCTTTCTCTGAACCCTTATTAACACTGGGTATTTTTTATCATAAAAATATTTCATCTGAGAAAAAAATAGTGCCTCATTGTTTTAATTTGCATTTATTTTATTCATAATGAAATTTTTATATCCTTGTTAGTCATTTATCTTTCTTTTTTTGTGAGAATTATCAAATGTCATTGCCCCAGAAGCCAAAACTAGCAAGTTGCTATTCTGCCTTTTTCACTTTGATTTGAAAGAAATAAAGGCACTTAAACAGTGGAAATTAAATTCTTATGTCACTGGGGAAAATATATAATTAGAAAACACAGAGGAGAGCTGAAACTTGAACCTTAGAGTTTATCTTGAAATCTGTCAACTAATTAACCAGTCACTTAGTATCAAACATAAAATGAGAATGCCATCTTTTCATTCCTTTCATACATAATAAGCTCTCAGTAAATACTTGTGAATCAGTTTACTGCTGTAGACCCTAGCTAGATGGTGGTAAGTGTGCTTACTATGAGTATAGAAACGTGGTGTTTCTGTTGGGAGTGGCAGTTGATTTGCCATGGCCTAATTGTTTCTACTAATTTTTTTTTTAAATATACGCAGATGGAAAGTGGTGTACTGACATTGTTGTAGCAAAAAAAACCCACTCAGTCCTTAAAATGAGATTAAGAAGATGTGTTCAGGCAGGCATATGAGTTGAACATGTACCTGAGGTAGAAACACTGCTTAGAACAGTAATGGGAGAAAGAAGGGCTGTTTATGCACAGGGAGACAGCTCAGGGCAGGAGTGCATGGAGGGATGGACACAGGGAAGAGGTAACTATTGGGAGGAAGTGGGAAGGGCACTGTTGTATTATGGTAAATTTTAGTCAATGTCATGAGACAAAGTGTATGTGAACTGCTGTATGGAAAGTGAATTTGCTCTGTAAATTTTCACCCAAATCACAATTAAAAAAAAAAAAAAAAAAGTTTGTTCAGGAAAAGAAGGTACATTCAAATGCAGGGAGACACTACCCCATGTGATTGAGAACTGGTGACTCCATGAAAAAGCTTCTAACCAGAACAGATATAGTCCAAGGAACAAAGAAATTATAATACAGTCATTTCATTTATTAGTCTTTGGTTGAAGTCACAAGGAGTATGAGCTATGGAGAATGAGCTTCTGTTGGATAATTGAATACTGTTAAAATGACCTGGGGGAGGTGTCTGACCTCCTTTAACTTCACAAGTGAGGAGAAGGAACAAGACCAACAGCCCAAGGTTGATTCCTATGAGGATGACATTAAACATGTCTCCACCCTCCAACCTTTTCACCAATACTGACACCAACCATCTCTCCCTCCCATGGCACTCTACTTCTCTACTGGGTTCAATAATCCATTGCAATGGCCACATACGACTCACAGACAATACTTACGATTATGGGCTTTATTAGGGAAGTAACAGGTTACAATTCAGGATCAGGATCTCAGAATACAGTTCTTCAGTCAGGGCAGCGAAGACAGGCCTCAGCCCCTCATCTTGGCCTCTGCCCTGCTCAGGCAAGTGTTACAATGCTCTTTTGGCTCTGCTGATAAATACCTAGAAGCATCTGACTCCAGTAGTAAGCCTCAGCCCAAAGGCACTCAGCTTTCTTGCTTCTTGGGCCAGGAAGCCACTTCTCTGTTCCATGCCAGTCTCTTAGTTCTGCTGCCTCTGCTGGCACTGTTTCTCTGCTACTGCTGCTCACTGTCTCTGGTGTATGGTTCTTTCTTCTGCATCAAGGAAGTTCAGCTCACCGATGTCAGGTCCAAGGGATAGGCTCTACTCCTGGCTTGTCTTTTTTTATGTTAGTGAGATCTTCCCCTTATGCCTCTGGGATAACTCATTTTAAGCCTAGTAGTAGTATAGTGCCTAAGGCATTTGACTGCTAACCAGAAGGCTGGTGGTTCAGACGCACCAGCCGCCACTCAGAAGGAAGGTTGGGCAATCTACTTCCGTAGTGATACCGCCTCAGAAACCCAAGGAGGGATCACTGTGAGTCGGATCTGACTCCACAGCAGTGACTTTGGCTTTTTGGGGTTTTTGAGTTGGCAAAACTGACCAATCCCCACATGATAGTTCCATATACCTTATTTACACAGTGTCAACCCCACAAGCTTGCCATCACCTTATTTAAATTATTAACAAACTTTCCAATCCCCTTGGTGGGCCACAAGCACCTCACATTTGCATAGTCTCCTCATCTGGAGGAAATTACAAAGACTATAGCTAGAGGGCCATATTAAGTAATTCACTGCACAGCATAGAGGCTGACAGTGATTGATTTCAGGGACTAATTAGAGAGGTTTTCAGTCAGTCACAGATTATTCGAGAGGGATCATAAAAACATCACTGGTTGATGTGAAACAGCTCTAACCATTCTGGTACCAGTACCTCCTTTCCCAGGATCTGCTTGTTAAAACAAAAAAACCTTTTAAGTTGTCTGGAAAACTTTTTAGATAAAGTTTAGATAAGACTGTCTCCAAAACCTTTTAAATATTTCTTAGGCCTACTTTACACAAAAAAGACACTTTTATCAAGATTCTGTTCCTTAGAGTGTATTTCTTTCACATCCTGGCTTGACCACAAAGAGAAATAATCCCTTAGTTTCTATGGCTGCTAGCAATTAAAGAGTCAAATGACAGGCGCCTGGGAGAGGTCTGAGTTACCTCTCTTAAATGCAGCTAGACAGGCAGTCCTGGGCAGGCATGTGAAAAGACCAGTTTAATTCAGCAAAAACTGAATTTTAATT